CAACAACTACAATGCCGACGACATGAGCTTATCAGCAGATCAGAGAGCGCCGCATCTTAAATGCTGGCGCCAGCGCCAGTGCGCTGATTGAGCGCGACGATCGCCAGGTAATCCTGGCCAGCGGTTCGCCGCAAGGTAAGAGCAAATGTAATTGATGTTTTCACGTTGTAGTTGTTTGCCATTTACATGCAAAATTGTTTCAGTCAAAGCCTCACACATGCAACTTGTTGCGCTGGCCAACGGAAATGCGGCGGCATCTTTGAATGGCCACCAGAGTTGGCCAAGCGGTAGCCGAAGCGAGACACGGCTATTGCCTAAATTGCAAATCTTCGACGGTGGCATTTCATTTCAAATCGCGTTAAGAAACAATTGTTAAGCGGCTGATTCCCCAACTTTCTGCTCCGACGACAGCTCCATGCCCGCCGCACACGTAGCAACAACCTGTTTTCTTCTCGGTGGGGACATCTGTTGCCTGTCGGCTGTGGGGTTGCAGTCCCATTCATGTTGCCGCTGGAAGTGTTTATGGGCTCCACATTAGCCACACTGCATATTCATGTTAAACGTCGCCAAAAAGACTAACGACGCCAAACGGCTATTGTGTTGTTGTAGCCGTTTCTTCGGGTTATTTGCTAAAATTTATTGAATTCTCATTTAGGAGCAGCAGCCAGAGTGCTCCACAAACCAGAGCTAGGCGCAGGTTCAAAAACGTTCACATGTCAAAGTCGAATAAGCGCCGTCCCGAGCTCTGATCTTCCAGCGGCAGATAAGCGAACTTTTTGTCCCAGGCCTTGTGTTTGCTATGCATATGCTCCTGCTTTTATTGTTTGTTGTTGTGATTGCAGTTGTTGTTGCGCTCCCTACCTCTCTGCCTTCGTCTCTCTTGTGTGTATGTAATTTCGTTGGAAATTAATGTTATGGCGGCCAAAATCAAAGTCGTGGACATTTCGCTGGCGACAATTTTATCGGCAGCGCAATGAAATCATTTAGAGTAGAGATGGGCGCCAACCGTAGACGTTACGTTGCAACTTGTTCGTGCTTTCCAAGCCTATACGAGGCACGCAGGATGCAATGTACACTCATGATCGCACGGGATCTGGCTGAAACTTGCGCTTAAGAATCTTTTTTTTTTTTTAATCGGAGACCTTTTGCAAAGTCTTTAATTATTTCAGAACTGTCTGAAACCAGAATTTTATTAATGCCTCTAAAGTGAGAACATACTAAGTATATAAACTTCAACGTGACTTAACTGATATGCAACTCTTTGCTTGCAGAGATTGCTGTTAGGGATGATAATCATTGAAGGTGGTGCGGCGTCGATGCCAGTGATTGGGATTCTTGTACTCCCATAGATTGGTTAGATCGTAGCCAGCCGGTACAACGATGTGTGGTTTTTGGCCAGCTAAAATACTTTCCTCAGCCACTACTGGCAAATCCTCAAAGGGCGAAACGTACGGCTTGATTTCGGGTGTTGTTTGGAAGCTAGCTGTTTGGCCGCTACTCGACTGTAGAAATAGGGATTATGGCATATTTAAGGAAATGATTTTAAGTGGATTTACCTTGTTTGGGGCCACAAAGAGCTGCTTGTAAAGTTTGCCTTTCTGCTGCTCCTCTAGCGAAATACATTCAACTTGTTCGTTGTTTTTCGTATGGAAGTAGTCATCTAAAGCAGCCGTAAATTCGCGTGTGAGCGAACGTTTACGTTCCGGATAGTTTTGCTGCTCTTCAATCCAGATTTCCGTGAAGGCAAATCTTTGCAATGCCTCCGTATTGGGACTTATATCGAGGGCATCCTTCTTTATCGGGCGGACTGAAGGAGATGCGTCCATGTTGAAGAGGTCCATATCGGGCATCTGAGAATTGCCTGCCAACTTCGGCACCATATGATGGCACATTGGGGTTCGCGAAGGAGTTGATTCATATTGGACCGGTTTTGCCACCGAAGCGCTTGCGCTGGAGTTACTTGTGGCAAGCGACTCCGAAGCCTGGCAATCAACACGTAGGGTTGGCTTCTGTTTGATGCGAAAAGGTTCAAAAGTGATTAGATAAATATTATGATTAAAATAGTTGCTATATGTACTTACAATCTTGACAGCATTTTTTTTAAACTCAAACTCAGCAGAGGAATCTGAATTTGAATCTTCGGGGCCATCGTCTATGTCGGAAAGAGATCCCAACTCAGATGGTTCGATACTGCTTTGAGCGAAGGAGTGAAAAGAGTCGTTGTCATCATCAATTTCAGCACAAAACAAATCTGGAACTTTGTTATTCAAACTCATTTCGGGATTTTCTTTCCACACCAGCAGTGTTTCAATGCAGAAGGCATTAAATAGTAGAGATGGGTGCGTGACTAAAATGGCGATGGAGCCCTTTTAATGATTAATTGACCTTGACCAGTGTGTCACCCTTCGATTATTAGATCGAGAAAGATCGTTGGAGAACGGCCAAAATGATAAGAAAACAAAATAACAACTATGCAAATAATATGCAAAGTAAGCATTCACAAAATAGATTGTCTAAAAGTAATAATAAGGATAAACCATTTATTATAATATCGAACTCCATTATATATCATTCATAGCTTTATCACGTGAGAAAAGCTGAACTTTCATCTGCGCTGTCGATATTTCGATACTCGTGAATTATCGATAAGCTAATTGGAGAGCGGTGTTGTTGTAAAATGTTCATACATGTGTATGTATGCATGCGTATGTATGTGGTTAGTTTTCAAACGCCCAAGTCAGGTAGAAGGTAAAGTGTTCGGACAAAGGAATAATATGCAAATTATATAGAGAACTTAAATACTGTTGTAGTTTGCACTCAATAGGCTTGTAAACAAAGGGCACTGACAATGCGAACAACGACCGAGCGCAGGACGCGCACTTGACAGCGGCCATTATTGTTGTTGTTAGTTTTAATTGTTCTCAAGGATTTGCAAAAATGATGTGCAGTTCGCGTGGGTCGGACCAGCCGCCTGCCTGCATGTGTGGGTGGATTTTTGCTATCCGGCAATTGTTTGTGCCATTGTTCACACGCTAAGAATGAAAAATTACACGCTTTGTTAATTGTACCATCCCCGGTCTCGGACCCGGGCCCACAGCTGAGTCCATTTGCATAAATTGCTTGGTAGGTTTCTAAATGGGTTTGGCTCCGCTCTAGTTTAAAACCACGGCTTAGGACTGCGCTTAACCAAGAAGAAGGGAGAGATATAGATTATGAGCATTTTCAGTTTTATGGCTTGGCACCGGCGACACACGACGCTGAGGAGAACTTATGCCTGGCTTTGTTGCATTCTTCTGGCTTCCAAATATGTTTATTTCCAGCGAGAGTATAATGCAGTCTGCAAATCCTTTCAGCGAATCAAACATAGAAAACTGAGAGGGCAACATACCTAAAGTAGTCTTGCTGTTTCTTTCTCTCCACTTGTATCTCTACAAGAACAAGCAGTGCAAATGGCGGGCTTGCAGTTCTTGCGTCGAGTGGCGCGCAATTTGAATTGACAGCCATTTTCAAGTAGCTGGTGCCACGCGTAAAACGTTTTTCATACATTAGCACTTGTTTTTGTTGTTGTCAAGTAATTAACGTTCGTTTAGGAAATGGTAATGGCTGCGTTATTGTTCGGGTTGCTCCCCATTTTGTGTTTACACAACAACAATTGGTTGCAAGACAAAGTGTATCTAATTTCAGGGGGCAAACACAGAAAGCAACAACACAATTGTTGAGCCGTAAAATGCAACAGCAAAATGCATTAATTACGCACACACGCTGCACACAACCTGCGACATCTGCCAGACGCATTTGTAGCTATTTAATGAGGCATTCAATGCACTTACAACCTTGCGCCTGTCAATACAGAACCGTCGACAGCCAGAACGACATCTGTCACCCGTTCTGTGCGCTATAAAACCGCAGTCCGCAGCTCCTAGTCCCTGGCGAGTACAATTTAGAAATCGATTTTGTGGTAAATTGAAATTGTTGTTTGTTTTTTCTTGGCCCTGCTTCGGCCAAAGACTACGTCTGCACACGCCTCCCTCGGCGCGACGTCGCAACGTTCTCGTTTTGGCTGCAGACGTGGGTGGTGACGCATGTCATCGTAAACTTCATCATTGGCTACATTCTCTGTCGACGAAATGAACTAGGGAAACCCAACAACAAGCATCTTCAGCTTACATAACGAATTGTGTATGTTTTTTTTTTGTTTCTTGTGTTTTTTGGCTGCTGTTGCCGACGCTCTTCGTTTCAGTCTCTGCCCATTTCATAAACATCTTTAGCCATTATGGGTCTCCGGAGTATTCTCCCTGTGCAACTGTTGCCTCCGTTGGGCTGCAACTGAATTTCATGCCTTGTCGAGCTATTTAATTGCAAACAAATTATGTTCTGGCCAGTCGCAGTCGCCGTAGCAGTCTCAGTCGCTGCAGTGTGGCTAATGGATGCTGCACCAGCGGCGTCATCTTCGTCGGCTGATGATGTTGTCGAAATTCTAGCGTTTATCTTGTAAATTGGTTGGGATTAATGTTAAGCGGAAGTTGTGATTTGAGTTGCGTCTGCTCGCTGCTGCTAGATGCTGGTCCAATGATAAAATGCCAACTGGCTGCAACATGTTCATTTACCTACAGCAAAGTGTGTGGGCGTGATGGCTTTGAAGTATCCTTTAGATCTGCCAATTAGCAAAAGGTATCTGGGCGATGTATTTGTCTGTCCTAAATAAGAGCTGGGAAATTGGGTAGGGCAGATTTACATATCTCACTGTGCCATTATTTATGAAAAATTAAGTCCTGCTGCTAAAAAGTGCACAAAAGATTTGCATATGTAAATAGAAATAGAATAGGAAAAGCCAGGCTAGAATGCAAATGTATGGGCCTCTTACTTAATATTTATATTGCCTTTGCATATCCGCTCAACCTACATCCTAGTCTTTCTGGTTGACGCTGTGCGTTGACCATCAATAATTTAATTTATCAGTCTCTCAATCAGTCAGTCAATCAGTCATTGAGAACAAACAGTTTTATATTCATATAGACGTTTATTTACGCAAACTTAATGCTAGCTTATTTATTAATCAGGCGAAATTCAGCTTAAATATTACAATCTTTAATATCAAAGGCATTAGCTGCAGAGTCTTGAGTATCTGTGGCAACTAGCTGCCGCCGCCCAGGATGGCTGATATGCTGAAGCCTTTGCGCTTGGCGGGCACCTCGGGCGCCGGGTGCTGCTCCGGGGGTGAATGTGATGTTGCTGTCGTCGTCTCGCTGCCAACATCTAGCTCCGCTTCATCAGTTGTCGTTTCATCGGTTTGCTGAACGGAAATGTTGTGCGGCAGGGCAAGCGCCGGAAGTGGTGGCAGTGCGGCTTGCAAAATGGACGCTGGCGGATACAAATGCGACGGCGGCGTCGCTCCATTGTACTCATGTGCGGGACGGCCAAAGTAGGTGCAGGCCAGGTCGACCAGCGAGGGTCGCAGTAGCGTCTGCATGTTCTGCTGAAAGTGCTGCATGAATGTGGTGGCGCCGGGGGGCGAACCCATTGAGATGGCGCCAGGCCCAGGCCCAGGCACAGCTACAGGCACAGGCTCAGCTCCATCCAGTGATGACGATAACGAACAGGCGGAACCATTTGATCTCAGGCGCTTAATTTGCGGCCCATCCTGTTCGCTGTTGTTCGAGGTTGTTGCTGCTGCTTCTGCTGCTGTCGATGTGGATTTGCCTGGCGACATGTCAAGCGAGCCAGGGGACTGCAAATGCGTCTGGGGCAGATCTTGATCGTCATCGGTTGGCGATGAAGACATTTTGCGTTTGCAGCGCGATTGTCCCGTTTCGCGGAAGCCCTTCGCAAACGGATTGTTGTCGATTTTTAGCTTCGTGATGCGATCATTCTGTGAAAAAACAGAAATAAAGAGTCAATGTTACAGCAGTTGTATTTGCAGTTGTAAATTGTATGAAATATGACAATTGCCAGAGACAGACGCAGACGCAGTCGCATAATCTTTAGCCAGCGTCCAGTAGCTGGCGTTAAGTAACAGGGCCACTTGACACCGCAGCCCCGGGAGTTATACACTTGAGCCTTGGAGTCGTTGTCGCTCTGTCATGACTTGACAACTTTGTGAAGATGATCTTGTGGAAGCGATCAGGCTAATTAGAGCCAGACTGACGACTGACGAGTGACGACTGACGGACTGGCGACCTGGTGTCGCTGTCAATGAGCCCAGACATAGACAAAAACACAGCGAGTGGCACAAGGATGTGGCTATCCAACTTCCCAAAATAACAACAAGCATTCGTAGACAAAGGGCGTTGCATGCTAATTTGAGACGTTGGTCAGGCTACCCACGGCGTGAGCGATCGTTGCCGAAATTAACCAATTAGTGTGCCCAGCTCAATGAATTGGCAAAATCAAATCTGTGCACTGTGTTCTGTTGCGTGGAACTTACCTGGTACGCTGTCACTGCCACAAACTCCGTCTCGGCAAACACAAAAGCCTGCTGCGGCGCCCAGGGTATCTGCGCCAGATCAGCGGTGCGTATGACATGCAAACGGGGCTGATACTTGTGCATGCTGGCCAGCACAATCTGCGAAAGGGAGCACAAATGAGCTCATTGATTATGGGTTCGGGCTCTCCAATTACTTACATGCCCGCTATTGTCCAGCGTGTTGTTAGTCAGCTTCACCTTATTGAAGAGTATGGGCTGGGCCTGCCAGTGTGCGCCTGTTGCTGGACTGTCCGGATGGAGGTACATGCGCTGTGGACTCTGCGGCTCGGCGCCACCAGCTGGCACCCATTGCGAGCCGGAGAATTTGTAGCGGCAGTCGCCAATGGGCACCATTTCCAGCAGGACGCAATAGTTTGTCTCGTCCTCCAGGCCTGAAACGCTCAAGCGCATCGAGGGAAACATGCGTCTGCAATTAGAGAGAGAGAGAGCGAGACATAAAATGGATTAAGTTCAAATAAAGTCAACAATTTGGAGGTCAGAATTGAGAAAAACGAAATGAAAAATATGAATCCTTGTTAGAAACGTGGGCGTTACAAATATTTAATTGTGAGTTGCTCGTGGACCATGTAATTAGCCTAGGAAACGCACAAAAAAGGAATAAGAAAACATCAAATAAAGGCAAGACCCTAGTTTTTGTTTGCTGTGCTAACAAGGACCGAAGCGCGGTGATCGCAGTACGCAGAACAGAGACCGAGACCCTACCACAGAGGCGCAGCAGGTGGCCAGCGCGCTTGGCGCCAGCCTTCCAATGTTTGCTCATCTCCGAGTACATCTCTGGCTCTGCTTCGGCTTGTTAAGAGTATGTGATACTGTTTTTATAAATTAATTTTTTTTTTTCGATTCTATACCCTGAAGAGTATAAAAGTTTTGTGCAAATGTATGCAACACGTCAAGAAAACATGAAGGTTTGTTTGATGATTTTTTGGAATGGTATAATATTCCAAAATCGGACATTACTTGGCCGAGATATCCAAAAAATTATCAAAAAAGGTTGACTTTACAAACGGTTCATTTTTTAGTCAACTACTTTTTTTGACCCATCGATTTTTAATTTCGTTGAATGCCAATTGATAGTGGGGATCCGCACGAATTCAAAAAGGTTTAAAACAAAAAACGTGATGTAACCCCTTGCTTTTTGGTCGATTTGGGTCAAAATGTAGATATTCGTTTTCTTGATGCCAATGGATAGTACTGATCCTTACGAGTCCAAAATGGTATAAAATTCCAAAAACTGACATTATTTGGCCGAGATATGCCAAAAAATCATCAAAAAAGGTTGACTGTACAAACGGTTCGTTTTATGGTCAATTACTTTGATTTACCCATCGATTTTTAATTTCTTTGAACGCCAATTGATAGTAGGGATCCGTACGAATTCAAAAAGGTATAAAATTATAAAATCGGACAGTTTTTGGCCGAGATATTAAAGAAAAATCATGAAAAAAGTTTTGATTTTCGATCCGAGCTCGATTTTGACAAAAAACGTGATGTAACCCCTTGCTTTTTGGTCGATTTGGGTCAAAATGTAGATATTCGTTTTCTTGATGCCAATCGATAGTACTGATCCTTACGAGTCCAAAATGGTATAAATTTCCAAAAACTGACATTATTTAGCCGAGATATGCCAAAAAATCATCAAAAAAGGTTGACTTTACAAACGGTTCGTTTTATGGAAAACTACATTGATTTACCCATCGATTTTTATTTTCGTTGAATGCCAATTGATAGTGGGGATCCGCACGAATTCAAAAAGGTATAAAATTATAAAATCGGACAGTTTTTGGCCGAGATATTAAAGAAAAATCATGAAAAAAGTTTTGATTTTCGATCCGACCTCGATTTTGACAAAAAACGTGATGTAACCCCTTGCTTTTTGGTCGATTTGGGTCAAAATGTAGATATTCGTTTTCTTGATGCCAATCGATAGTACTGATCCTTACGAGTCAAATATAGTATAAATTTCCAAAAACTGACATTATATAGCCGAGATATGCCAAAAAATCATCAAAAAAGGTTGACTTTACAAACGGTTCGTTTTATGGTTAACTTCTTGGATTTACCCATCGATTTTTAATTTCTTTGAACGTCAATTGATAGTGGGGATCCGTATGAATTCAAAAAGGTATAAAATTATAAAATCTGACATTTTTTGGCCGAGATATTAATGAAAAATCATGAAAAAAGTTTTGATTTTCGATCCGACCTCGATTTTGACAAAAAACGTGATGTAACCCCTTGCTTTTTGGTCGATTTGGGTCAAAATGTAGATATTCGTTTTCTTGATGCCAATCGATAGTACTGATCCTTACGAGTCCAAAATGGTATAAATTTCCAAAAACTGACATTATTTAGCCGAGATATGCCAAAAAATCATCAAAAAAGGTTGACTTTACAAACGGTTCGTTTTATGGTCAATTACATTGATTTACCCATCGATTTTTAATTTCGTTGAATGCCAATTGATAGTAGGGATCCGTACGAATTCAAAAAGGTATAAAATTATAAAATCGGACAGTTTTTGGCCGAGATATTAATGAAAAATCATGAAAAAAGTTTTGATTTTCGATCCGAGCTCGATTTTGACAAAAAACGTGATGTAACCCCTTGCTTTTTGGTCGATTTGGGTCAAAATGTAGATATTCGTTTTCTTGATGCCAATGGATAGTACTGATCCTTACGAGTCCAAAATGGTATAAAATTCCAAAAACTGACATTATTTGGCCGAGATATGCCAAAAAATCATCAAAAAAGGTTGACTTTACAAACGGTTCGTTTTATGGTCAATTACTTTGATTAACCCATCGATTTTTAATTTCGTTGAATGCCAATTGATAGTAGGGATCCGTACGAATTCAAAAAGGTATAAAATTATAAAATCGGACAGTCTTTGGCCGAGATATTAAAGAAAAATCATGAAAAAAGTTTTTATTTTCGATCCGAGCTCGATTTTGACAAAAAACGTGATGTAACCCCTTGCTTTTTGGTCGATTTGGGTCAAAATTTAGATATTCGTTTTCTTGATGCCAATCGATAGTACTGATCCTTACGAGTCCAAAATGGTATAAATTTCCAAAAACTGACATTATTTAGCCGAGATATGCCAAAAAATCATCAAAAAAGGTTGACTTTACAAACGGTTCGTTTTATGGTCAATTACTTTGATTTACCCATCGATTTTTAATTTCTTTGAACGCCAATTGATAGTGGGGATCCGTATGAATTCAAAAAGGTATAAAATTATAAAATCTGACATTTTTTGGCCGAGATATTAATGAAAAATCATGAAAAAAGTTTTGATTTTCGATCCGACCTCGATTTTGACAAAAAACGTGATGTAACCCCTTGCTTTTTGGTCGATTTGGGTCAAAATGTAGATATTCGTTTTCTTGATGCCAATCGATAGTACTGATCCTTACGAGTCCAAAATGGTATAAAATTCCAAAAACTGACATTATTTGGCCGAGATATGCCAAAAAATCATCAAAAAAGGTTGACTTTACAAACGGTTCGTTTTATGGTCAATTACTTTGATTTACCCATCGATTTTTAATTTCGTTGAATGCCAATTGATAGTAGGGATCCGTACGAATTCAAAAAGGTATAAAATTATAAAATCGGACAGTTTTTGGCCGAGATATTAAAGAAAAATCATGAAAAAAGTTTTGATTTTCGATCCGAGCTCGATTTTGACAAAAAACGTGATGTAACCCCTTGCTTTTTGGTCGATTTGGGTCAAAATGTAGATATTCGTTTTCTTGATGCCAATCGATAGTACTGATCCTTGCGAGTCCAAAATGGTATAAAATTCCAAAAACTGACATTATTTAGCCGAGATATGCCAAAAAATCATCAAAAAAGGTTGACTTTACAAACGGTTCGTTTTATGGTCAATTACTTTGATTTACCCATCGATTTTTAATTTCGTTGAATGCCAATTGATAGTAGGGATCCGTACGAATTCAAAAAGGTATAAAATTATAAAATCGGACAGTTTTTGGCCGAGATATTAAAGAAAAATCATGAAAAAAGTTTTGATTTTCGATCCGACCTCGATTTTGACAAAAAACGTGATGTAACCCCTTGCTTTTTGGTCGATTTGGGTCAAAATGTAGATATTCGTTTTCTTGATGCCAATGGATAGTACTGATCCTTACGACTCCAAAATGGTATAAAATTCCAAAAACTGACATTATTTGGCCGAGGTATGCCAAAAAATCATCAAAAAAGGTTGACTTTACAAACGGTTCGTTTTATGGTCAATTACTTTGATTTACCCATCGATTTTTAATTTCGTTGAATGCCAATTGATAGTAGGGATCCGTACGAATTCAAAAAGGTATAAAATTATAAAATCGGACAGTTTTTGGCCGAGATATTAAAGAAAAATCATGAAAAAAGTTTTGATTTTCGATCCGACCTCGATTTTGACAAAAAACGTGATGTAACCCCTTGCTTTTTGGTCGATTTGGGTCAAAATGTAGATATTCGTTTTCTTGATGCCAATCGATAGTACTGATCCTTGCGAGTCCAAAATGGTATAAAATTCCAAAAACTGACATTATTTAGCCGAGATATGCCAAAAAATCATCAAAAAAGGTTGACTTTACAAACGGTTCGTTTTATGGTCAATTACTTTGATTTACCCATCGATTTTTAATTTCGTTGAATGCCAATTGATAGTAGGGATCCGTACGAATTCAAAAAGGTATAAAATTATAAAATCGGACAGTTTTTGGCCGAGATATTAAAGAAAAATCATGAAAAAAGTTTTGATTTTCGATCCGACCTCGATTTTGACAAAAAACGTGATGTAACCCCTTGCTTTTTGGTCGATTTGGGTCAAAATGTAGATATTCGTTTTCTTGATGCCAATGGATAGTACTGATCCTTACGAGTCCAAAATGGTATAAAATTCCAAAAACTGACATTATTTGGCCGAGGTATGCCAAAAAATCATCAAAAAAGGTTGACTTTACAAACGGTTCGTTTTATGGTCAATTACTTTGATTTACCCATCGATTTTTAATTTCGTTGAATGCCAATTGATAGTAGTGATCCGTACGAATTCAAAAAGGTATAAAATTATAAAATCGGACAGTTTTTGGCCGAGATATTAAAGAAAAATCATGAAAAAAGTTTTGATTTTCGATCCGAGCTCGATTTTGACAAAAAACGTGATGTAACCCCTTGCTTTTTGGTCGATTTGGGTCAAAATGTAGATATTCGTTTTCTTGATGCCAATCGATAGTACTAATCCTTACGAGTCCAAAATGGTATAAATTTCCAAAAACTGACATTATTTAGCCGAGATATGCCAAAAAATCATCAAAAAAGGTTGACTTTACAAACGGTTCGTTTTATGGTCAATTACTTTGCTTTACCCATCGATTTTTAATTTCGTTGAAT